TAGCAAGCGTTTTTTACCATTTACCCTTTTGGTCAGATGAATTTTTGTGTCAGAAAATATCTTTGCGTTCGGCTTGTTGGCTATATCAACACATCGCCGAAAGGCAGATAGAGCCAGAACTTGGGGAACGATTTTATAAATCGATCAAGTAAGTCTTGAAGTGGATTGAAAACGAAATAATAATAATAATAATACCATTATGCATAATGGTGGTCAGTCACAGCATTTACTGTGGACAACTCAGGAATTGACGGAAATCAATGTAACATTGATGTCGCAACGCTAATGCTAAGACGAATTGTAAATACGAATGCATCGAACGACTGGCCGCCGACAAAATTTCAGCAATCAAATAGAAAACTTCAGGGTTTCAGTTAAGATACATGAAGTTTTAACCCGAGCGGAATCATCTAGATTCTTCAATGGGTCTTAGATTATAACACTTTCCTCTAACTTAAACGAAACCGACCAAGCCATTCGTCCTTGGTCGAACGTGTACCCTACTCGAGTAGTCTACATTAGGCTTATTTCTGAGAAGGGGCCTGCTGTACCATGCCTGTCGTCCAAGAAGCTCAGATCTGGTTTGGCGGGCCACGTTAGAGTACGTGCTTATGGAGCAACTGGCAAACTGCCAAATTTCGATTCAATGGATGTGTCGGTTTGTGCCCTGCGGCGCCCCGCAGGCGACGCCCATGAGAGCCTCCTTTAGAATAAAGGAGGAGAATAGAATATACTCTGTATTTGCGACGGTCACCGGTGGCTGGTGAAAAGAAAATCTTTAGCAAGCACAGTAGTACCAGCATAAATAGGAATGCCACATGAGTGTCTTAATCGATCGACGAGTGAGCCTCCTCAATAGTAATCCACAATGACGAACTGGTAAGACCAGCTCTTCATTCCGCACTCTTCATACAACAATGTAAAACTATTTAAGTACTACTTTTCAGTCAGTTTCTTCAGTCTGTCGCTTACCCGCCTTTGGCGGTCGGGTTACGATTGCATGCAAGCAAGCGCAACGTAGTCGGTAAGATGCTGAAAACGGAAATCTTCATATTTTCTTTAATGATGTTCTATTAAAATAGAAAGTAAGCAAAATTACAGAGCGACAGAGTTTTGTGGCTTCGTCAATATGTGTATGCTGTAAAAAGGTCATGTGGTGCCGGAAATGGCTGGGGTTATTAGGTGGAACCGCAACAGCAGTTTTCTACTACTACTACTACTACTACGCTGACAGACCATGCAAATGCAAGTTAGAGAATGGCGATGTTTTCACCGTTTTTGATACACCCTGAAGTTTACGAAATGCGATGACTCGCTAGAAAAGTCGGGAAAAAGACGATCTGTTAACTAATTAATTAGTTACTTAATAAAAAGGAGTTAAAATAAAAGCCTCCTATACTAAACAGCATAGTCGCTACGTTGCTTTGCAGTACCTGTGAAAGTTGCGATTCTTTAACAGAAAAACAATGATCCTTCGACACTATAGTCAATCAGCACTATATTTTGCTATTTTTTTGAGGCTTATTCATAGATAACTTCTAGCGCGGGTCCGTTTCCACTCATTAGAATAGCTATAACCAGTTGCAAGGAACTATTAAAGTAATGAACAGATTTGAATGACCTGCAACGCTGCACCAGCGAGAAGTATTGGAAGACTATTGTGGACGCACAATGTTTTCTATCAAGAGACCTATCGATACTTGTCAGCAGGTAAAAATGGATTAGCTTTTGAGCTTTGACAAGGTCCGCCGCTAGTTGGCGGCGTGTGGCTAGTTGGTCTAACATCTGTCAATCGAATTATGATAACAGTAACCAGTCTATATATAGTATACTATAACAGACTATGGAACCCAGTGCTCCGAACGGACGCGACTAAAAAAAGGAGATCGAACTCGTCTTCGTGTAATGGCTTACCAATAACTAGGTTGTCGCTTTGGTGGGCGGCGCTTCCCGCAGCTAATGCGACCAGTCTTCTCTTGCTGGCGATCTTCACTGTGGTGCTTTCTTCCTTAGCAATCATTTATTGTATTTGTGTTCCATTGTCGGCGTTGTTGTTGTTATTATTGGAACATTTGCTATGTTGCGTTCATTCAATGCGGTCCGTATCATGAGACCAACGAACGCGGGCGACATTTCCTTAATGTTTTTGTTTACTACAGCGGATGACGTTGCTGTAGGAGCGAACTAGTTAGTAACTCTTGGAAGTTGGCCTGCGTTAATAACTGGCAGTAAGTAGAATCAAGTTGTGCTCCTATTTGTCGTTGTGGATAGTAGCAGCTTCATGGCGGACAGAAAAGCCTAGCTTCCCACAACTTTCTTGGCACCATTATTTGTTTTATTATTATTACCAATATTATCATCTCGGACGTCCATCTTTATAACTCTCACCGTCCGTGGCTGGGTTGTAGCCTGAGGAATGCGAGGCAGTCGCCTATAAGCTTGGCGATTCCGCAGTAACAAACCGTTCTAGTTTCTCTGCTGGCTATTGAGACGAATCGGCCATGGAATACCTGAACATAGATTAGTTTCTATTCGTTTAATCCAATGAAAGATACTTTGTCGCTTTACTTATATCGTTGCGTGTAATTGAATTCGTAGTCTACAGAGACGACAGGGTGTATTTTTTTAGAAAGTACATATACATAAATATACATGATTAGTTATATTGAAAAAAAACGCGCAATGGTGTCTACCGTAGAAACACCGATTTTCCTGCGGTCGTGTTTTTCTTCACTTCAAAGAAACCTTGTTTGTCCACTAATTAGTGTAACATTTTTCGATAAATAGCTGATAAAGGGATTCTGCTTTGTTACAGGTACGAGTACGAGTCGTACTTTCGATTTTTTTTACAGTAAAATCACACAGGAACCAACCAGAAGGTCTGTGTCTTTATATGTCCATATAACATGTAACACGAACCATAAGCCACCTTGAAACACCCCAGGCAGGAGCCGATGTCATAAGCAAAGGGCCAACACAGCCAACCAGGAAAAATAACGGCCGTTTAAAGCTGTACGAGATTTCATATCACGTCAGCCGCGACTCGCTCCGGGGGATCCTGACATACATCAGTGGAGCGACCACCGCGTTGTCCTAGCTCGCACAGCTCTTACAGGCTACATAGTGGTGGCAGTCTGACGAACTTGGAAGGGTCACAAGTTGGCGGCAATTCTAGGGCAAATCAGGGGCTAGACAACACAGACTTGGCAATGGCAGCGCCCCTGTTGCCTCCCGTGTAGACTGCTAACCGGTTTCTTCACTGTTCCCTCTGTGTCCGGAAATCGTACTTGGCCGGCAGCGGAGGTGGAACGATGGTAGTGACCAACCATATAGAGAGCAGTACATACAGGGGCAGCCCGTTTCCTGAACCACTTTCGAGCAGCGAATAGGGGCCCCTGCCATTAAGCATACTTCCTTGTAGCTCAGAAGGGATAGGATAGAGAACTGATGAAAGCAACTCCCGTTAGGCGGACGTCTAGATGTACGGACGGCGGTCGTTCAGAAGTGAGGTATAAGAACAACCGGGAAAATAGCCTAAAAGAAGGGAAGTTGTTTTGGATTAGGGAAATAGGCGATTGATCTCTGAACAGTCCTTCTACCCGCCTAATTTGAATAGTAATGAACAAGACAGTGGGCAAAAAATAAACATGCTCGCATGCCGCTTACGCGTACGCCACGCGCGCATGGTTGGAACGGGGCAGGTAGCATCCACAACAAAGAGGTGAGTCTGAGTAGGATAAGTTTGAGTAAAGCAAGCTACAGTGGTCCAGGGCCCGGTGAGCCTAAAAGCCGCAGCCGTCGTCCATACCATTTATGATACAGACTTGAGTGTGTACAGCATAAAACTGGGACACAGAATTGGGGTGGAGAGAGAAGTTGTCGTGGACAAGTAGTGGGGTAGTTGGACTGGGGGGTGAGTGCATTTCGTTCTTGCCGTTAGGCTAAACTAATTGGGTATCATAGTTGTTAAAGTAGGTAATTCTAGGTCTGCACCCTGTCCAAAGGCCTTCTTCTTCAACCTATCACTAGCGTCATCGGACCCTACGTCACCGCCTTTTTCGCTTCTTATGCATTTCTCGTTGAGAAGGCCCCTCGACGTTGGTTGGGACTCACCGAAAAAAGATGGTAGAGGAGAAGTTGCCACATAGAACAAAGTTTGCAGTGGCCAAATGATATACTATTACATAACACTGTGCGGCAGAAGCAGTCGCCGTTGCTGCCGCAGCAGTCTCTCATTCTGTCGTTGGGTGTAGAGTTGACATTTTGACTTCACGGGTGAAATTACTATCATCGACATTGTCTACTATACGTCTCTAAGCGCATCATTTTTTCCATGGGCTTTCGCTAAGAGCTGATGCTTCAAACTTAGCAGTTTAAGTAGAGCTTCGAGGCCGGGTCGGAAATTGACGACGCTGGCACAGGACGGCGATAGAGAGTAAACGGGCGTGCAGAGGCGACGCAGCAAGTAAAGCATGGACTATAATACTACGATTACTTCTTTTCTCTATTTGATGCTGAGTCCTAGCTGCAGGCTCTCCTATCACTCTACAGTTGCTACAGCAGAAGTACGATTGCCCTGCCTCGGGTAACTCACTGTGCGTATGTGCATAGCCATACGTTAGAGCCGATGTGGCCTGCCGGAGGCATAGAGAAGAAAAGGGAGGTGGAATTGAGGCAGACGGGAACAGCGTTGGCACTTCGGAGGAATACCATAAGCAGAAGAAATATGAAGGACAAAAATTTGTTGTGGGATGACCTCCTCATCAGAAGTTCAGCTGTTGCTGGAGGCTGCTGGCTTAGGCCGAACTTTTGTCATTATGAGGTCCATCTCCTTTACAGCCTAGGTTGATCTGTGACTCAGTCGTATAACTCAGCCCTAACTTGGCATTAAGGCTGAATTATACGACTGCTTTTGTCAAGATTTACCAGTCACTACCAAGCTCACATTAATTATTCATCCTTTATGGGACGATGCTGTTACGAAGTCTTTTTCCTTACAGATCCCAGCGCTGGTCACGATGGTCAGTCCTTGTATATCCAGCCATCTCGGGCAGAGCAAGCCTACCTGACAGGTCAGTCCTTCTTCGTGACGTGCTTCCTTGGTGCGGACGTTGACCGCCAACAGGTGATGTGGCGAGATCCCGAGGGACGGCCAATCACCGAGAACGAGGGACGCATCCACGTCTATCGAAGGAGAGACGAACCCGAAGGAATCCAACTCGTTGTTGAAGAGGTATGTCGATTCCGAACAGAAATTATTATTATTAATTATGGTGATCATGAGCGGAACCTAGTGGCTGTCGCCATTTGACCTGTTTTATATAGAAAAAAATGCATATATAGTATTCGCTTACTTTACCCATACATACATAGACTTACGTACTTATTTATCCGTTCTGCACATGATTCACACTACACACTTACAACATCTAATCTGTAAGTTGCAAGAAAACCTGTTATTTGTCCTAATCTTAAAGGAATTCAAAAGTTTTCCAGCGTGAACTAGGTTGTGCATCTCAGTATTACTGTAGTATCTTGAATTACCTCGTTGAAATTTTCGTTGTCGTTTTGCAGTTTTTATACTAGTTATCATATACAATTATTTCAGTAAACCTAGCGCAATCCTGCCATTATCATCGCAGTGTTGTTTAATTTTATAATTAGATCATAACTTTTAGTAGTTTTGGTACTTTGTTTCGATTCTTCCATTGCGTTGGTGTAAATATCCTAGTCATGCTGTGGTTTTTAAGCAGACGTCTTATTCTTCTATATTAGTTATCTTCTGTCCCCATCGAAATTCAGCCATTAGCGTGATTGCCAATGTTGCGCTATCTGAAGATGAGAAACGCTTTAGCTTTTTTCTGTTGTCATAACTCTAGAAGCTAAACAAATAAGCCTGAATCTCAAAACACGACGATCTCCTGTAGGAGATACTATTGTTAAAATTTAAGTAACATCCTTACCTTAGTATTTCTTAAATTTTCAATCTTTATTAACATAAACGTCCAAAACGGACTTTTTTTACATTGCAGCCTATGGGGATTTTTCCTAGATTTTTCAGCGTAAAGGAGTCTCTCCTGCATATATCGTATCCATCCTAGCAAATAGTTTTGCGCTTGGTCAAGCGTACCTACGAAAGACTACATATATCGCTAATTTTTTAGATGGTTAGAGCACATGCGTTTAGCACATACATATACATAAACGCCTGTTCGTTGAAGAACATAGAAACCAATATTATAATTATTACACAGTTGAAGAACAGCTATAAATAAGAATACACTTTCGAAATCGTAATCGTATGAAGGCAAACGCATGAAGAGATGATTAAATGGCTTGATTTACAAGCATGCAACGTGTTAATAAAAAAAACAGTAGCGAGGCCACTTTTGGAACGGGATCGACTGCAAGGTCCTTTGCGTCGTCGCTAGTGGCGGTCTTTCCCTACTCCTTCAACTTTTATTTCTAGTACCGCGGTTAGACGTTGTTTCAGAGGCAGTTATTACGCTAACTGGGCGCCCGACACACGCTATAGTCAAATCCATCAACCCCTTATCGAATCACGACATATCCACTATTGTATAGTTATGATTGTGCTGCATACGTTATAACAGTAGACGTTAGTTTAGCTAATCGGAGTAACCAAAGTACTTTGGTTAGTTCGTTGACATGGAAGGACAACAAGAATATACATACATATATATATATATATATATATATATATATATATATATATATAGGCGCTCTTCTATTACGTAATTACGCTCACACATCACAGTAGTCAACCTAACCCATTAAAAGACACTTACATGTTAGTTATATATGTATATATATGTATTTATAATCATATACGTGTTATTTATTACTGTTTCTCTTCGCCTTTACCACGGTTACTAATCGTGCTTTTTATACATAATCAGTAGTTCAGGCCTGTTAAACGTTCAGTTACATTTAGGACAACGTCTCCTGATAATGATTATATATCGCATACTCAACCTAGCAATTTAATATATAGTCCACGCGCAGAACACTGTCTGAAAGCCAGTTTTTCTGTGTACCAATCTGCAAAGAATCCTTTGAGCTAAAGGAGCTCGCAAAGGGACGTCAGCGTCAGTTTTTCGTATCTACCGTTGCCCGACCAGTTGTTTCAAATATTCCATTCACCCCGGTCCGAATCTTTCTCGACATAATCGTGGCTCGCGATCAGCTTTGTGGTAGGGGTCATCACAGATTCGACTGTAACCCCATCACTTCAGACTGGTGACATTGGTTACAAGGATGATTAACACAATAGTGTTAACGATTTCTCTTTGACGTTTGCCAACGAAGTAACTAATTCCACCGAAACGCAAACGATCACGATACGCGTTGATCAGTATGAATATTGGCGCAGACGTTCGTAGTTAGCAGTGTCCTACAAAGCAAGCTCGATAGCCTCGCTATCGAAAAGCGTCTCGGTCGCGTACGTGTCAAATACGGTTGGTAAATGCTCACTAGGAAAATCATCGTTTTTCGAAGGCACGTTTGTCCAAAGTAACCATCCTTCTTGGAGAATACATTTGCTAGACGTGACTCAGACAATCTGACGAGCGAAGGACACTGGAATAAGAATCTGAAAAGGACTGGAAATTCAAAATCGTTTCTACTTAGGCAAGAGTAAAATAATAATGATCCGGAATCCGGTATTGTGATGTTGATCGGTTTGCGGAAATCAGATATCAAAGAAAATGTTACGCTACGTAATTTGCGTTACAGTAGATGTAGACGTTCGATGCCAGCCTAGTCAAATATTCCTTATAGCATAACATTTGTTTTTGATCAGGAGAGGTATTTGAGCGAATACGGTATCGGTCAGTGAAGTTCTGTTAATCCAGGTTATAAATTCTGTGATGGATCATGGAAAGGTCCTAAGTAGAATCGTACACGTAGCTATAAATGTGCCACAAAAAGCAATATCCAATACAATAATATCCTAGTCATTTTGATATTCTTACTTAGAAGACTGTGTTTATCAAATTTGTAAGTATTATTTTTCTCAGCCCACCTACTTATTGAAGAACCCAAGCTCATTTGGACTTCTCTCTTATGCCAGATGAAACTTCATGCCGTTGCAGACAAGACTCATGAGAGCTTTTTAATTTGATATGTACAAAAATCTAGACCCACAAGGCATAATAGCAAGGCCTTTAGTTAAGGACTTTTTGTAGGTGCCGAGTATAGCTAAACGATGCCGCAAAGCCATTTAGATGTTTACCAGGTACATTCGTTTTTTTTTTTTCATTTTTGCGAATATCAATGTGTTCTTTGCTTCATTGGATCATTTTTGAAGTAATGTATTATGGCTGGGGTCACTAACAGTTGAAAAGTTAAAAAAAAAATTCAGATAAGATAGATCTTCTCACGTTGTTTTCACTGGGTCAACGTAATTTTTAACTGGCCTGTTTCGACCTTTTTTTCTCTAGGTTCAAATGGGCGACGCAGGTCTGTACACGTGTTCGACGTTTGCTGGCCCAGAGTCGAGAGACGTATCAGTGTCATTTACGTTGTTTGTCTACAGAGCGATCACGTTCCAAGGTACCAAGGACATTCAGACCGGCACAGAGGGCGACGAGAAAGCTGTTATTAGGTGCGAAGCTGACGCCCATCATCGAAAACTCGAGTTTTCGTGGCAGCTAAATGGACGAGCTATTCGTAATTTCAATAATAAAGGTAGGTGTGACACTCTCAATGATTCACAAGTTGAAAAGACGGAAACATTCGGGGGTGGCAAAATTTTTATTATGTATTATATCTCCAGTCCTATTTATGTGTGGCCGACGTATGTGTGTGTGGTACGAGATCTTAGAAGAAAAACGTGGTACATTCATTAGTTAGCTTACGAGTACTATAAAATAGCTGTGCCACAGAAAATGCAGGATTATCAAATTTAAACGCATACATTTTTTAAGCGAATTCTTTGGTAAACAACCATCCCGGGGGGTGAATCACGTTGAAGGCTCTTTGTTGTTTTTGTAAATGTAAGGACAAACAATGAAAAATAAACGTCGTTTAAGAACCTATACTATCCTACGCCGCACCAGCAATGTATATCAAAAAGGACAAGCCGAATAGGAGGCACATAATACTAATTTGTAGAACCAGGCGGGCTGCCGAGCTGTGAAATAATCGATCTGTCATTCGTTCGAAAGCTGGCCGGATATAAATGGTTGAAAATGCTGTATTCTCTCCAGTTCCTTTGAGGGCAGTGCATGAAGTCAACCAAGTCAGTTCCGTGGCGGTCCAGCCAACGTCGACAATCAATCACGACACGGGAGTCAATCGGGCGGCAAACGATGACAAGCCTGGATGGATGATGCATCTTGGGCTATAGCTGTCGATGCGCCATGCCTTATGTCTTGTGCATTGAAGTTGACGGCTAGGAGCTCCCATGTGCCCGCCATGTATCTCGGGCTTTTCGGCTTTTTCGAACCTTTTAGAGGCTAGGACAGCCGAAGAACGGTTTCCTCTTGGGTGGATTCCTCCGCCCAAAACGTTCCTTAGTCCCAGTAGAGCTCATACATGAACCAGCAAACGCATGAGCACAAGTGACTACGTATGTTTGTTTTATTGCATTAGCTAGCGCAGAACCCTTACTGTATTGGCTCTCTTCATAGTGCGCACTAGCACGATGGTGCTCATTTGGAGGAATGAGTTCGATGCTTTGGCCATCGACGCAAGCCTGCCCAGTTTCTAGTCCCCTCGTAGAGGTTCCCTGTTTCTCTTTTTCCGCTTTCAAAGTCCGCCGCTTTCAAAGCAGAGGAGTAACGGCCCATTACTGACTAAGGGCGTCAGAAACCGATCGTCAACAATGGCGACGCTTTGTCCATTCTTGCTACTGTTGCCAGTGCTGCGATGCACGGCATCGTCACTATGCCATTACTAAGATCAGGGACGCGGCTCCACAGTCCCAGAAGGGAAGATGCTGAGGTAGTGTGAACGGACCACCAACCAACAAAAGGGACACCGGCCCGCGCCTGAAAATGCCACCATATCTTTCCCATCTTGCTATTGGTGTTGTCGCACGAAGCGAACGATCATTAATCAGTTCAGAAAAGACGGAACTGATTGAGATTGTGATGGTCCCCGCTATGGTCCCACACGTGAACCTCTGTTTCGTTTTTGATTCTATGTTTGAGTGGTAGAGAGGCAACGCAAAGCCGACTGTGGCCTATCCGATAATTGCACAGCCGCAGCAGTAGCAGGAGACGATTCCAGTTGTCGACGAGTTGGTATCACTTTAACATTGGTTCGAACAGTTGCCGTTCACCCAAACGAGGTATTGCCCAAACAGTTTCATTTCTCAATTCATCGATGGTGGCGATGCTGTGGAAAGCAGAGGGGTAAAGAAGAGAACAGGCGGAGACCGATATGTTTTCGCTGTCGTAACCAGTTTTCCACGCCCAAGTCCTCTCTGAGTCACATCTTGTATTGATAGCGTTATACACTATAGTTGAAGCACAGTGGTATTCGTAGGAGAAATCTTACTGTCTATAGGTGCATGTCCGCGGATCTCCTAGGGACTTCCTTCAGGTTAATGTGTGGAACGGGCGAACTCTATCGATTTTGGCAATAGCGTAGGGGATCTCCCAAACACCCGTCGGGTACGCGGTGGTCCTGTCGTTCCACTAAATGAAGTTATGTACGAAGGAAGTAAGTAGATAAACAATTGCTTTACTGCAGTTGATGAGTGGACCAGGGAGTCCCCGTCGAGTGCCCAACTTGTCCCGATTGCTTCTTCTATCAGCTTCTATCAGATTCTATATCTTACGAATGATGCAGTTGTCATTGACCCACCCACACCGAACTATTATGTTATACAATATACATAATACAGTTGAATTATGACAATAAATCTTGTTGGCGCTTTCCTTAAGCACTCACAATAAGTTATAAACCGCTATGCGCGTGCAACACTAGCAGAGTACCTTGACGAAGTATATAGCTGATACAAACGTAGTGCCATAATAAAGCGACAGCATTACTATTGAAGGATATGTGCTGGTTTTTCATTAGCGCCGCATCATGCACCCCACGAAGCCGCAACTAGAGGGGCAAGCAATCAGATATACGATCTTTATCGACAGATACATTCCCTCTGCTTGATGCCGAAACCCGCCCTGTTCTGACAGCAAAGCCTGCAGATTCTTTTGTAAGCAAGCTCTATCACCATCTACCTACACTACTGTCGGCGATACTCCGTTGGTTGCTTCCGAGCATTTCTTTAGCAGCGTCCTCTGCTCGTTTTGTCCTAATATCCCCTTGTCCTAACCGTAAATGCCTTCTACGGGAAATCTTCGTCACTTATACGCACACATTTAACAACGTCCGTAGGTTACTTATCCCACAAAATCAGACAGCTGGGCCGCATAACCAGCGCCGTCCTAGATGACTACCAGGCCCAACGTTTTGTTGAATATGTTATGTTTTGCATCAGTGTTGTTGCAACCATGTGAGCTGTGCTATTCCAGCCTGCTGAGTCATCCTTAAATTATCTTCATGACTCTCTGTTCGTTCATTTGCTGAACAGCTGTGAGGTTGATTCGTATACGTTAGCGTACCGCTAGTTCGCTACCCAGAGGCCAGATGCGTTGGGATCCAGTGGCCGGCGGCGTTGGTGGAGACTTCTGCCTAAGCACAATCGGCGCCTGCTGGCCAGTCGCTCAGGAAAAGCTGCGGCTCAGGGGACGTATCTAATGAAGCGTTATAAGTGTGTTTGCAAACAAGATGCGGCTATTGCTAGTAGAAACAGCAGCAGTAGAGTCCAATAGGGACGAGAACGCCTGCCTCCCTCTGGGGTGATGGGTTGGCTAGTCGAAAAAATTGGATCGGCCTTCTCCTTGTCTAGAAGCTGTTGGGTTTCGAATACTTTTTCCCGCCCTAACATCACTATACACGGGCGGAGCGGGACATTCGTTCGTCAATCGTGTTCACCACGGGGTACTATAGCGACATTCACGGCGGTCGGTACCGTGAGAGAGGTGCTCGTGGTAAATTTTGCTACGTGTACATGTTTGAACACGCCCGGGCGCCAGCGGTCACACAGTCTTAGCAAGTGGCTCAAGCTACATGCGATCGTTTAAATCGCCTCACTGATTCAGGTCAATAAAATGAGGTAAACAAGAAAGTATGTATTGTCGAGGATACGCGCACTGATGACATCAACGATATGAGTAATTGATCAGCTAATGCGCTACGCGATAACAATCAGCTTTCATCGATAGCTTCGTTATGTCGGTTAGTTGCATTGGGTGGACGCACAAAGGTACGAGATATTGTCATTTTCGAACGTCTGAGGCCATCCCAGGCGAAACCGTGAAACGTCGACACAACAAGCTGGCATTTACGCCAATCTGAGTGATTGATATAATCGTCTTTTAAATCTATGTAATCTACTTGGATTTCCACGCGATTCAATTTTGTCTAGCTTGTTGAGATGATGAGATGTCTTCTGTAAAATTTAGTTGACTGATTTTTCAGTTATGACATCAATCATAGACAGGTCGACAGTCATGCCTTGAGAAAGTACATTGCCACATATCAATCATAGACAGGTCGACAGTCATGCCTTGAGGAAGTACATTGCCACATATAATTCGTCACTGGACCCTGTGTTAAAGAGGTGGCGTTGTATTGAATCTGATGTAGCGCTTTTAGCCTGGTTGTTCTTCCGGAACATTTGGACGGTATAGTAATCCCTCTCTTCAGATTTGTCTTTAACTGAGAGGAGAGAAGGCCCGGAAACCTATGTTACACAAACAGAAGAAAGCTAATTTTCTAAACCAAATTAAGTCAGACGACTGTTCACCGAATTAACCGTTGTTCGCGCCTGATCCGCTTCCTATCCTTGACCATATTGCCATTTCTCTTCTAAACATTTCCAGTCGGAGTAAGACTCTCTACCGGAGGAGGCAAGGTTAAGCAATGCTATAAATTCCAACTGGTGAGAGTGCTATAACGCTTCTACAAGGGCAGAAAATCAAATGCTGGTGTTTAGGGGTATGGGTCTAGGCTGGTGCGTTAATGTAAAACGTTTCGCTTCAACTTTCCCCCATACTGGAAGGCTCTCTGTCCTATTGACAATTTAGTGCTGTTGCTGTGCCCAGGTTTTTATGGTCAGTGCGCAGCTAGTGAGCTGCCGGACCGCGCCACCGAGAAAGACGAATAGTGAGAGCAGGGACATCTATTGCTATTTAGTTAGAAAGGATTTATCTTGATTGCTTGCTTTTTATTTCGCTCCTTTTCTAAAACCTGAACCCCTACCATGGCCAGCCACTAGCCTACGGATATGCCTTGGACAGCAGATCACAGAAGCAAGAAAAATTATTTTCGTACACAAAGACTGACAAACCTGCCGTTTAGGTGCAATATGCTAGTGTCTGGCCACTGCCTTTACTAGACTTTATTAGCTGTTAAATAAAAGCCGACGGAGGCATCACATTTGTAGGCGTCTGATTCTGCAGCAGCAGTGGCTTCTAAACATGATCTTCGAGCGCTTGTCTTCTTTCTCTCTTCCCGCTACTTTCTCATTAATGCAGCTGGAGGTGAGATGTTTCTCGCCGGACTTGAAGGCAACGGTAAGACATCGACTTGGGGGCTGATATATCGTTTCTGACACGACAAACGCAGGGCAGTATCATAGCTTGAAGTTTCCTGCTTTTACCGTTCTCTTA